TGTGTGTGTGTGTGTGTGTGTGTGTGTGTGTGTGTGTGTGTGTGTGTGTGTGTGTGTATCCCTAGCTAGAATGAAGTGCCATGGTCTCCGCCATGTCTCATCCATCTTCACATCCCCAGCATAGTCCCGGTGCGTGCGTAGAGCTCATTCAGTGCTGGCTAATCAAGAGGGTGCTTTTAATGGAGTATGATGGGGAGTCAGCTTAGGATGGAGGTCTTTTGTCTGCAAGGGCTCTTCCCACTATGCAGGGAGTAGAGCTGCTTACCTAGATAATTTGGGCACACACTCTGTCTTGTAGAGTTTTTCAAATTATTTAGGTTAAGGGGCGGTTTGGGGGTAATTCTATCAACCTTTGCATCTAATCTGTTTGCTTTTCGTTGGTGTCATGGCCCCTGAGTCCTTCACCCCTTTATTAAAGGGAATTGTTGGCTACCTGCACTAAATTACTCCAAGCCACCATAGCCTCAGAAATTCTCAGGGAAAGATAAAAGCGTTTGCCATTTGACTTGTTTCAAAAGTGGCTGTGATCTGAATGAAAGATCTTTAAAATTATATCTGCGAATTTGCATTTCTCTCGCTTTGTCTTACAAAAGGCAAGAGAATATAAATCACAAATTATAGGTGCTTTGGGGGCAGATGTATAATGGGAAAACAGTCTCTGCTATACACTCACTACCCAACACTTGTTATTTCCCTGAGCTGAGGTTTTCAATGTCACAGGGTTTCCTGTAATCACCTAAGAATTAAAATAGTCATTGCTAGGATTTTTTAAATACTCAGCCTCCCCAGATTCTGTCCATTTGGATTATTTAAAAAGACAGATGGGGCAAAGGTAATTACTTCTATCTTCCTAAAGGGTCACATGGTTTTCCTGACCCTAAAAATGGAGGTATCCAAGATGGAGGGAGGCGGCATAGTAGCCTGAATTCCTTAGGCTCTCCGTCCACCCTCCTTCATCAGACTACCTTCCATAAACCTCCCATAAGCCTATTGCTGCCTGAGAATCTTGGGCAAGGAAAATTTGAGGAAAGGATGGGCTGGAATTGGTATTTTAGCTGGAAGGTAGGTGCAAAGTAGATTTTTAATGGCTTGGTTGGTTTTCTGCTCTTTTGCTTTCTATCATATGCCTCTCCGATAGGCACTGTAGATGCATCCATGCATACCTTCCTCCAGCCATTAAACCGTTGCCTGGCACGTCCAGACGCACTAGTCTTCTGAGTTACCCATCGGCTTTACTGAGAGAGCTCAAGAAGCCAAATACACCCGTCATACTGGAGCTGCCCCCATCAGAGTCGTCTTCTCCTGTTTCTGGGACCACTGGAAACCACCACCCCCCGCAATGTGGCTGGTCCCACCATCCCTCCCCTTCAACCTGCTGCCACCACGGCCTTTCCCCAGTACTTATGGACCTTTAGACTCTTAAGGGAGGATGGGTTCCTGAGGGTCACAAACCCAGGCTCCTAGGCCCTCCGTGGCATCACCGCCAGCTCCTGGTAGAACTGGTACTTGAACATCCCCTGTGATGGGGGAGCTCCTACCTCCCAAGGCGGCACATTTCCAATCTTTGGATGGTGTTGCCCCTCACTGGTGAACCCGTGAGTTGCCTGAGTGTGTTCAACAAGCCAGGAACTGTTGGAGGGAAGATGGGATGCAACTGTGAATAAGACAGCCCTCACCCAGTGGAGAGAGCAGAGACAGACATAAGTAGTTACATCACAATATTTTTTTTAAGATTTTATTTATTTGACAGAGAGAGACACAGCGAGAGAGGGAACACAAGCAGGGGGAGTGGGAGAGGGAGAAGCAGGCTTCCGGGTGAGCAGGGAGCCCGATGTGGAACTCGATCCCAGGACCCTGGGATCATGACCTGAGCTGAAGGCAGACCTTAACGACTGAGCCACCCAGGCACCCAGTTACATCACAGTATTGTAAGCCTCTGGAGGGGTATGTTCAATAGGCCGGGGAGGCCTGTCCAAAGGTGGGAGTGTATGAAGAAGTACAGCGTGTTTGGAGAAAACCAACATTTATCTAGTATAGGGTGTGGAGAGATGAGAGCAGAGATGGAGACTGGCAGAGTGGGGTCGTTTAGACTGAAGTCTCTATGTCACATGAAGCCAGATGCCACTCAGTGTCTGGGAAGTGCCATGAGCAGGTCTCTTATGGGGGAAGGGTCAATTGGGTAGGCAGCCAGGAGTCGTTTCTGTAGCTGAACTGACTTAGGAGCCCCCATTTCCATAGATGAACAGGAAAAACCATGCCTGAAGTTTACAGTAATTCAGACCCTTCTAGGTTTGCCCTGGGACTTATGTAGAGTCAACTCTTAGCCTTTTTCTTCTGGGGTGATCTACAATTCTGGGGCCTCTGTATTGGCCCGGCATGGGGTGAGGGACTGGTTCTTGCTGATCTTTCATTGTGTGATATCAAACCTGCTCTGCCCTCATCTGTGGCTTTCAGGCCCCTGTCATAGCCTCCTGATGCTTCTCGACACATCCCTCCCTCCCCTCCCCTCCGGCCCCCTCTTGCCACAGCCTCTGCTGCAAGATCCCTTCCCTCTGCTACCAGCGTCCCACCCAGTGGTCATGCTGATTCCAAATCTCCACTACCTCCAGTGTCCCCCCAGAGGGCCCCTGAGAACTTTAAAAATGTCCTCCATAATCTACTGGAGGGCTGTCGGGGGAGTCATGTCAGTCCTGGAGGTAAACAGGGTATGAGCCCCTGTGCTCTGCCCCTCCCCATTTTAGAGAGAGAATCTTAAGCAGGCTCCATACCCAGTGCGGAGCCTGATGCAGGGCTCAATCCCACAACCCTGAGATCATGACCTGAGCTGAAATCAAGAGTCGGACGCCTAATCAACTGAGCCCCTCAGGCACCCCCCTCTGTGCTCTGGGCTTTCTAATGGGATCTCTTACCTGTCCCTGCCCCTGGGGTGTGACTCTGAGTCTGGGCAAAGGATAGGTCCTGCTCACATTCTCTCACTTGTGCTGTGCCCCTCATTCCTCTCTGGATTCTTTCCCCTCAGTGCAAGGAGGG